GTCGTCTACAAGATATTATAAGGAATTATATACAGCCGCTTGGAATCGTTTTCGGAGGAGATGATTGGTGAATACCAATGTGGCTTTAGACCAAAGAGATCAACTATAGACCAAATGCATAGGTTAAAAGGTATACATGAAAAATGTGTTGAATATAACATACCTATTTACAACTTGTATATCGATTTCAAACAGGCGTTTGATGGAGTAACCAATAAGTTGGTTAAACTTGTACAAATGACTTTGGAGGGCTTCAAAGCTGTAGTGAGAATAGATGGAGATATGACGCAAGCCTTTGATATTGAAAATGGAGTTAGACAAGTTGATGCCTTATTAACAACACTTTTTTTATCTAAGTTTAGAAGCTCTTGTTAGAAAATTGGATATAAACGGCTGTATTAATACAATATCAATGCAAATATGCACATATGCTGATAATGTTGCCATAATAAGCCGCAACACAAGGGTATTAACCGAAAAAGTTATAGAACTGAAACGAGAAGCTGCTACGTTTGGTCTATATATAAATGAAAGCAAAACAAAATATATGGAGTGCACAAAATCGAATCAACATGAGAATCAGCAGGTATATAACCATACCTACAAATATGCCTCCACTTTTCCCTACCAAAGCTCAATAATAAACGACAACAACAACATCAGTCAAGAAATACGGATTTTTAGCAGTAATAAGTGCTTTTATGCATACAAAGACTTAATGAAAAGTAATTTATTGAATCGTAAGTCTAAACTTAGAATCTACAAAACAGTAATTAGACCAGTGGTCACATATGGATGTGAAACGTGGACCCTCTCAACCACTGATAAAAATCAACTGAGAATATTTGAGCGAAAAATACTAAAGAAGATATTTGGACCAACCCAATGCAGCGACGGTTCAAGGAGAAGTAAAATGAACCGCGAGCTCGATGAACTAATGCAGAGCGCAGATATAGTTAGATTTGTAAAGTCTCAAAGACTAAACTTGCTTGGTCACCTAGAGAGAATGCCAGATAATCGAGCTGTAAAAGTAGTTCAGAGATGGAAGCCCCAAGGAAACAGAATAAGAAGAAGGCCGCGTAAAAGATGGATAGACGAAGAGAGGGATCTTAAAACCATGGAACCAAGAAAAGTATCCGACAGGGCAGAATGGAAGTTGTTAAGTTTGTAACATTATTAAGTAGGCCATAACTCAGAAAGGGTTGTAGCGTCATTAGAAGAAGAAGGCGAAGATGTTATAAGAAATAAACCGGGTGTTTTCTGTCTAGAGGTCAAGGTGTTGGAACGGAGAATTACAATTACCTCGTACCAGGCAATGTTGCCGATTTTAACGCTTTATATACAGTAGAACTCCAATTATCCGGCCTCCAATTATCCGGATCGCCAATTATCCGGATCGCCAATTGTATAGGCACCAAGTCCTGAGAGAAATAAATATGTATGCAGGAACTTGACCCTTCTAACTGCGAACACACTGTAGTGTAGCTGTAGCGATAGCAACGGGCTGTAGGGAGGGGGGAGCGATGACTGACGCTCGCGGCACGAGCTAGCCATTCGTTCAGTGCTTCTTCAACCTGCAGTAGAGTGAATTAATGTGTTGACTTGTCCGTGTTCCTTAGAGTTTTGATTATTGTGTTCAGTGAACTACGATGCGTTCTAAGAGGAAACGTGTGGTATTATCGTTGGCCGATAAAATTAAAATTATCGAACAGTTGGACAAAGATGTGTCAGGTAAACATTTAGCCGAGGTGTACAAAGTGGGAACGTCAACAGTATCTGACATTAAAAAAAATAAATTCTCTATTGTAAACTTTGTATCCGTCCTCGAGAATGAAGGCGGAAGTTCATCGAGAAAGAGTATGAAAACAGCTGAAAATAAAGAACTGGAAGAAGTGGTGTTTAAGTGGTTCTTGCAGCAGCTAACATTGGGGAGCCCTCTTTCAGGCCTTTTATTTGTGAAAAAGCTATGCTTTTTGTCGAGAATATGGACGGTGTGGGTTCATTTAAAGCGAGTAGTGGGTGGCTACGTAATTTTAAAGCCAGGCACGGAATCCGAGAGTTGGACTTAGCTGACCCTAAAGCTGCTGAAAACTTCATTGAAACTTTTAAAGTTGAGTTAGATTCTTATGACCCTGAGTTTGTATACAATGCTGATGAAACGGGCCTAAACTGGAAAGCCTTGCCAAAAACTACATTGGCTTCAAAAAGATAATCAAGTGCTCCTGGTCACAAAGTAAGAAAATAGCGCGTGACTACCCTTAATTGTGCCAACGCAACCTGAAATCATAGATTACCCCTACTCATGATCATCATCACACAGCCAAATTTGTCCACTGTCGAACATAGGCCTCCTCAAGATGTCTCCACTCTTCTCTGTCCTGTGCAGCTACGATCCAGTTTGTCACTATTCTTTTAATGTCGTCCGTCCATCTGGTAGGTACTCTTCCACGATTTCGCTTGTCTGCCCTTGGCCGCCATTCTAAAATCTTCTTTGTCCATCTGTTGTCTCTCTGTCTTGCGACGTGTCCTGACCATTTCCACTTCAACTTCGTAATCCGTTTTATGACGTCTTCCACCCCAGTTCTTCGCCGTATCTCATCATTTCGTATTCGGTCTCTCAAAGATACGCCAAGCTTAGATCTTTCCATTTTTCGTTGTGCTACTTGTAACTTTTTTATTGATGCTTTAGTCAATGTCAGTATTTCAGCTCCATAAGTGAGCACCGGAAGTACGCACTGGTTAAATGCTTTTCTCTTTAGCTGTATTGGGATGTTTTCCTTAAACACGTCTTTTAGCTTGCCATAGGCTGCCCATCCTAAAGCTATTCTTCTAGATAATTCGCATGTTTGGTTGTCTCTACTTATTTGTATTTCGTGGCCCGGATATATGTATTTGTCAACCGTTTCAATATGCCAGTTTTCTAGTTTCAATGGTCCACTAGGTACTAAGTTGGTAATCATTTTAGTTTTCGCAAAGTTTATTTCCAGCCCTACTTTTTGGGAGACTCGTTGTAAATCTTGTAGCATTTCGTTGGCCTCCTTTAAGTCGTCGATTATTAGAACTATGTCATCTGCAAATCGTAGGTGGTTCAGCCTTTCGCCATCGACACTCAAACCTCTGTTTTCCCATTCTAACATCTGGAATGCATGCTGCATTACGGCATTGAATAGTTTTGGTGACATGTTGTCTCCTTGTCTAACTCCCCTTTTTAGTTTTATTTTTTGAGTAGGGGTGTGGAGGTTTATTGCTGTTGTTGCATTTGCATATATATGTTGAATAATGCTGGTATATCGGTAGTCGATTCTACAATCTCTCAAAGTTCTTAAGATAGCTACCATCTCGATAGTGTCAAAGGCTTTTTTATAGTCAACAAATACTAGAACTAGTGGCCGGTTTTACTCTATAGTTTTTTTAATTAGGGCCTTTAGACAAGTTAGATGGTCATTTGTACCATACCCAGGGCGGAAACCTGCCTGTTCTCTTGGTTGGCATGTTTCTAGTTTGTTCTCAATTCTGGCAGTGATAATTCGAGCAACTAAATTATACAGGTGACTTAGAAGACTGATTGGCCTATAGTTTTCGAGGTCTGTTTGATCTCCTTTCTTATGCATGAGGAGCGTTATAGAATTATTCCATTCAGCTGGTATTGCTTGGTTTTTTAAGCATATATTGAAGAGCTGCTTGATTGTCCTGATGAGAGCAGAGCCTCCGATTTTTAGCGCATCCGCCACTACTCCATCTTCTCCTGGTGCTTTGTTTTTTTTTTCATTTTCTTTAGAGCATGGTAAATTTCAGCCGTTGATATGTCGGGAATATCTTCTGAACCTTGATTCATAATTTTTTGTTCTGTATGTTCTGTCGGGTTTAAGTCCAATTTATTTGTGTATAGTGTTTTATATACTCATGATAGGAAAATCCAAAAATCCCAGGGCATTCAAGAATGTAAAAAAACTTCCCGTGGTCTATAAAAACCAAAAAAAGGCTTGGATGACTGCTACTTTATTTACAGAGTGGTTTGATGAAGTGTTCATACTTGAAGTCAAAAAACATCAAAAGACATTGGGAAAACAAGGCAGCAAGGTGCTGTTACTTCTTGATAAAGCACCCACCCACCCCCCTGAAAACCCGCTAGAAAGAGAAGATGGAAGATTTTGAGCAATGTTTCTGCCACCAAACGTAACGAGTTTGTTGCAACCGATGGATCAGTCGGTTATTGAAACAATGAAGCGTCATTACAGGAGACAATTGATTAGAAAACTGTTGATAGAAAATGAAAATGAAGAAGGCATTGTCGCTCATCACAAAAAAATCAATTTAAAAGATTGCTCTATATGGTGGCGGAAGCGTGGAGTATGGTTACGGCGACAAAATTGAGAAGGGCTTGGAATAAATTGAAAAGAATTTTAACAAAGGAGGAGCTGCAGCAAGAGAAGGAAGAGAATCAGCGCCAAAAAGAAGAGGAAGAGAGAGGGAAGGAAAATGACGAGGTAACGGTTGAAGAAATCAGAGATATCATCGTAAACATTCCCGAATGTTCCGAGTGCAGTGTAGAGGATGTAGAGGAGTGGTTGTTAAGTGATTCTACGGATCCCGGATTCCAGATTCTCGATGATAATGAACTCGTCCAAAGTGTTGTGACAGCAGGAAGTGATGATCCGGAACCGGAAGGAAAATTGGTTTAATTAATTTTGTGTAAATCGAAACTTATTTTAAAGTAAAATTGCGAGTTATTCCCAATAAAAATGGTAAATTCCATTAGGATGCCACAAGAAAATGCTTCAAAGCAATGTGTTGTAAATGATACACTTTTTAAGGACGACATAAAATTTTAACTTATATTGAAAACAAAAAAAAATACGTCTGGGGTCGTACTATTGACCTAATGCGCTCACTTAAGGGTTAAAACAATTTACAATTATTTATACTTATCCTGATCAATACAAAATGGATTGATTTTGTAAAATGTAAAATTTTCTGTGTAAAGTTTTAAAGTATCTTACGTGCTTCAGTTTTCCTTGGCCTTCCTCGCTTTTTACCTGGCATTATTACGCTTTTAGCTGGATTTAATACGTAATCCCTCGGTGTCGCTAAAGAAATTTTTCTAGTAAACTACCTTAAGATATTGATGATGATAGTCTTTTGTTAGTATATTATGTAAAATGTTCTGAGTGGAAAGTTAAGTTGGTAGAGATATATATCCTAATGCGTGTGACGAATAATGGATGAAAGGTGAAGCTAAATGTTAGTGGATGACAAAAATCATGCAGTGTAGTTAGAAACACAGCTACTTACATATTGGATATTTCCTTGGCCTTCCTCTTTTTTTCTGCTGTGTACTGGTTTCAGCAAATGCACTTAATGAATCATATGTTAAAACATTGTTTTCTTCAGATTTTACCATAATTTCAGGAGTCAGAATATCTACACGGTCAATTGTCTACAAAAAACAAAAAAGGAATTATAAAAAAAAATACAAGAAAAAAGACCGATAATACATTTAGATAAATACAGGGTGTTTTTACAAGGTATGTCATAATTTAAATCACGCATTCCGAGGACAAAAATAAATTGATTGAATCCATCTTATCTTAGTACAAAAGTGTACTGTAACCGTTTCAAAAGTTTTAGAATATTCATTATAAATTCGATTAATTTTTTTTTTAATTGCAAACGCCATCTATCTGCCGAGTACTTGTATTTGACTCAAGGATTCTACTGTAATTCCAAACATATCCGGTAGATGAGAACGTTCATTAACTTGTCACTCGCCTCGATTCGCAGCGGTAAAGAATAGCGTCTTCCCCTTTTTCTCTTTAAACGTCAAGTGGGTCTCTATAGAGGTAAGCCAAAAAAATCCTATTGTCTATATTTTCAGATAAATATTTATTTTTAGACCTTTACATAGTCAAGTTACAATAATGTCTCGAGATAATATAGATATGGAGTTATTCTAATCCTATAGTGTATTTTTATGTATAAGAGAGTAATAAAACAATAAATTATGTATGCAAATCCCTAAACTGTTGATACGGGTGACTCAATGAAAAACAGTCACACAAAATTTGTCAACAAGTTTACAGAAGTATAAAGGAAAACAATTTTAAATTGAGTATGACCACCAGGTATAAAGGTTGGAGCAGAATAGAATACAATAGTTGTGAGGGTTACTAATCCCTAAATAAGGTTGCTAGTGTCGGAGTGATGGAGGTTAACAGGTACTAATGAATTTGCAAGAAATGTAAGATGTTTATTTTATTGGTTATATATAACCAATAAAAGTTTAATAAGTACCTACCTATTTGCAAAATAAAGTTTAATTCTTTAGATAAAATAAAACGTTTTATTTTATCTGAAATGAGTGCAATCCACGAAGTAAGGATTTCAACAATCAAACATTTAATTCCTTAATTCCAGGAATCTACGACAGTAATTGACTAGATAATTGACCTTCTAAACTTATTCCACAGAAAATGTGATAGTGGGTTTTTCCATTTTGTAGGAAGGTCCAAGTGGCGTATTCAAAATTCTTAACAGTTCACTAAAGGTAGGTACTTCAGTTGCAAGGTGCAGTTTATTGTGTATACTAGTGTTATGGAAAATTTGGAAGTGCCGTGTAAACGCCGAAAAATTGGTCCTTTAACAGTTAATGAAAAAACATTAATATTTAATTGTTTTAAATCATTTACAGACAAACGTTTATGTGAAAGTGTTGATGAGACCGTTGAGTTAGTTAGCAGTACACTTGGTGTTGGGAAATCTACGATTTACAGAGTTATTAAAGAAGAGAAATGTAGTAGTTTTCAAATGCCACGTAATGCTCCAGGGAAACCAAAATTTCAAATAGAATATCATTTTAAAGAAGGACTTCGACGGAAAGTGCATGAATTCTTCTTTAGACAAGAATTTCCAACATTGGATAAAGTTGTTGTCTCAGTTCGAGATGATAAGGATTACGTTATGGAAACTTTTAAAAGAAATAGGCTTCCGCTGGAAAAAGAATCCCAGAAAGTCTATTTTATTAGAAAGAAGCGATATGGTTATATGGAGAAGACATTTTCTAAGAACCATAAAGGAAATGAGAAACCAAAAAAGAAAAATATTTTATCTTGATGAAACATGGATCAACGAGGGTCATACACCAAATAAATTTTGGCAGGATGAAACTGTTACAAGTCAAAGACACGCTTTTGTAAATAACTTATCTACTGGTTTAAACCCACCATCAGGAAAGGGACGCAGGCTGATAATAGTACACATTGGCAGTTCAGACGGTTTTGTTGAAGGTGGTTTATTAACTTTTGAATCAACTCGTACCGGTGACTACCATGAAGACATGAACGCTGATGTCTTTCAAGAATGGTTCGAACAAATGATAGATCTTCTTCCTAAGAACTGTGTAATAGTAATGGATAATGCAAGTTATCACTCCAGACTTATAGAAGGACTGCCCACAACCAAGTGGTTAAAAAAAGACTTGCAGAATTGGCTGAGTTCAAAAAATATTACGTACCATCCCGGATCTATAAGAAAGGAACTTTATTCGTTGTGTGCCCTTCATAAAGAAAAATTTAAAGAATACGAAATTGATGAAATTGCCAAAAATCTTGGAATGACAGTACTTAGATCCCCACCATATCATTGTGAATTAAACCCGATTGAACTGGTATGGGCACATATAAAGAGTGAAGTTTCAAGAAAAAATACCACTTTTAAAATTCATGATGTTAAACAGTTGTTTTTGGAGGCCGTAAATAATGTAAAACCTGAAAACTGGGAAAAGGCAGTAAATCACACTATTAAAGAAGAGGAAAAAATGCGGAAGCTGGACAATATTACTGATAAAATGATCGAGCCAGTTATTATAAATCTTGGTTCTGAAAGTTCATCTTCTGAATCTGATTTGGATTTGTAACAAGTAGCTGTAAGTTTTATATTAATATTTTTATTCTTCTATTTAACATAGCTTAGACGGTTTTAAAAACTCTTTTTCTCTTTTGTAATTTTTAAAAATTTAAAAAAATGTGAATTTTTTAAAACCCTTTTTAATGTAGGCCAGTCAGTTCTAATATAGTGTGTGATAAAAGAGGTCACTTTTGTTTACATACACATATCACTTTATAACACTGAAATAATTCATTTATTTTTTACAATTATTCAAAGTAATTTTTCAATTAATCTTGAGCACGCCCATGGAGTGGTCGGAGGTACCAGTTAAAATTATGCTAATTACTCTCTCGTTAATAAAAATAAACTATAGCCCAGTAACAATATCTCTTTATGGTGTGATATATTGATATTAAATGGAGTCGTACCAATGGTTTCATTTTGTTAACTGATTAAATAGTAAAAAGAAACAATTTCTTCATGGTTACCAGCTATTGGATAATTCAAGTTGTACCAATTTTTATTATATTTTTCTTCTATAAAGAAAGCGGGGAATATTTATGGACTTAAAGAAAGAAAATATAGTGAAGTGTTTTATTTTTATTTAAAAGTATAATTTCTTATTATTCTTAGTTAATAAATATCTATATTATTTTTGAATGTGAATAAATTTCGAAATTTGAGGATAATATATAATAATTCATTTCTTAACTATTCTTAATTTAATACGATCTAAAACTTTTGTTTGTCTATACGATTTTTAAATTCGTTTTGTATAAACACTCCTCATGGTAATGTAAACATAAAATGGTATTTTGATATCCTTTTGGGATGTCGTAACTTTTAATGTTTTTTTTTTGTTCATTATTAAGAAATTTTGTTGTAAACTTTCTATAAACTCTTATTTTTCTTCTTCCTCGTCCCCTTCGAGGTTAAACCAGGGGAGGCGTGCAATAATAAATTATAATTTCATATTATCTAATTGTGCTTGGATTTAAGATATGATACAGTTTCTATATGTTTAAAAGAACCCCGTTCCCCCAACTATCTTCGAAAATGAGCGATTCTGACCTTGAATTTAATTTGTATGCCAAATGCTTATTAAGCATGCACGCTACAATGTGTTTATTAACCAAACAATCCTAAAAAGATGGCCAGAGTTAGATTGTATTTATACAGATGGATCCAAATTTGACGAATCTACTTGATGTGCTTTTTACCATTCAAATCAAAATATATACAAAAAATTCAAACTTCTAACTCAAATGTCTATTTACACTGCTGAGCTCATCGCAATTCTTCAGGCTTTGAGGTATATTAATGCCCATCACAATTTAATTGCCCTATAAAGCAATCCTCGCATGTTTACCATAAATATTGATTAAGTCTATTGATACAGTCTGTAAAATTCTGATTTTTTTTTTAATAATGTCGCATATGTATACACCTTAATTGTACAACTGGGTTGATAGATGAAAATCTACCTACTTACTATATCATACTGAGTCAAGAAGATATAAATACTTACATATAATGAATCAGGTCCTAAAGCATCATTTAAAGCTCCTAATTCATGAGTTTTATGTACGTGATTTTTAAGTTTATCGTGTCTTGAAAAAGCCTTATCGCAATGCTCGCAAGCAAACGGTCTTTCGCCAGTATGAACGAGTTGATGTCGATTTAAATGTGAAGCTCTTTTAAAACTACAAGAAAAAAACTGTATTAATAAAATTAATAAATGTAAGTTTAGTTAATATAATTTACAATTGCAATGTGGAGAATCTTTACAGAACCCTTTTTTACAGAATTAGTGAAGTACCTGAACAAATTAAGCCATAAATCAAGAGTAAAATTTTAACTTTAAGTCTAATACAAAAAAAAACTAACCACGAATAGTCTGGCTAATTGGCTAAGCCAAAGCCATTATACAATAAAAAAACTTTAAGTCGTTAATGTAAGTAGAGAAATACAACTCAATTTTGTTTGGTTTAGTCACAGGCAATTTTAGATACATAATTCGATAGTTAATATAAATGCAGCATAAAGATACAGATACAATTTTTTTCTATGTGCAATTCGAAACAGCAACAAAACGAATAAAATAATTTTGTTTCCATAGTTAATAACACGTTAAGCCCCATGCCTAGTTTTATCTGGACCGTGTGTACCTATCAGGCCACAGCGAACTGTCGTGCATAGTATATACCGCCCTAGTAAGGTAACTCCCATATAAAGTTTTGGGAAAGAGTTTCTAGCGCCAAATACGGACTGGCCGAAACTAATATCATTTGGCGGCAAATTCAAAACGTAGATTCTGAATTTTAGGCGGCAAATTAAAAAAATATATATAAACACCACGAAAGCGACTAAAATCTAGGATAAGTTTCCTTAGAACAGGATGAACCATCTGAATATTTTCCTTTTCCCCAGGTTCAATGGACAGACCAGTCCCTGTACTTTAAAACACGCAAAAATGGGAAAAAATCGACCAAGATGTGAAATGTGACTGTGGAGAAACACAGAATATGGAATATCTTCTTACATGCAGAAACTGTCCTCATCGACGTACCCTCGAAGATTTGTGGCTCGCCAACAAAGATGGAACCGACGAACCCCGATACTGGGCCAAAATTTTATGAATCAAATGTCCGGACACGGTAAAGTAAAGTAAGCAAAGATTGCTGATGGAATATCCTCTCGTGACTAACAGATTCTTTTTTTTCTGTACCTAATAGTTTTTCATCTGCCCCGGCGTAAAAATTTTGGCTAAGATCTATATTTTAAGGTTATTCTTCCTTCTATTTTCTGAAAATTTTTATTGAGTTATTTGTGCTGTTCTAGAAGCATTATTTTCTCCTTCAATGTCTTTATTTCTATTTTATTTGCTCTGAAACAATTACGAAATTAGTTTAAGAAGTTTAATAAAAATTAATTAGAATAATTTACATCTCACTCACTGTTTTTGATCAATAGGATCAGTATAAAGTACACTTACTGTTCTATATCTGCTACAGGTAAGGTTGCTGTATTAGTTGTTTCAGTTTCAATATTAAAATTGCTATCTGATTCTTGCTTTATGTCTTCTACAGCTAATATATATTCTACAGCATTCTGTTCTATATGTGCTACAGGTAACATTGCTGGATTACTTGTTTCAGTTTCCATATTAATATTGCTATCTGATTCCTGCTTTATGTCTTCTACAGCTAATATATATTCTACAGCATTCTGTTCTATATGTGCTACAGGTAACATTGCTGGATTACTTGTTTCAGTTTCCATATTAATATTGCTATCTGATTCCTGCTTTATGTCGTCTACAGCTAATATATATTCTACAGCATTCTGTTCTATATGTGCTACAGGTAACATTGCTTGATTACTTGTTTCAGTTTCCATATTAACATTGCTATCTGATTCCTCCTTTATGTCTTCTACAGCTAATATATCTTCTACAGCTTTATGTTGTCTTCTCTTCTTCAATGGTGCGACTCTTTTTCTTTCCTTTTGTAAGCTGGATTCGTGATCATCTGGTAGTTGTAAAGTAGGCACAGCATCAGATTTTAAGTATCTACTATTTTTGCAAGTATAATTCAGTAATTTATGTTTCAGAGGAATTTCAAAAGAGTTAGCATCAAAATGTTTAGAACAGATGCATGCTACAAAAAATATATATTTATGTCGCAATAGTTCTTTTTGTACGCCTTAACCCTTAACTGGAAAGACCCTATATACAGAGAGAGACATGCCGTCTGACAGACTACAATGTAGGAGAGGGGATAAGAACTAAACTTACAAACTTTTTTAATATATTTAATAGTACTCTAAAAGCTGTTTGTATTTGCAATTGAACACAATAAAGAAACTAAAAATAGTGTCAGAGACTAAAAAAATAACTACGACTTTCTAACAGCTAATCATTTACAGTTCGTGACAGTCACATGTTTTATTTTTCATTACAGTGAAAAAATAAATATACATCAAGTAAGTTTTTTTATATGAAATGCACTAACACATACTGGATTACTTAAAAATTAACTTGCGAAATTATTATGATGACGAAAAAAATGTCCAGCAACTGTAAAATTTACATACAATTGGCATAAATTGGTTTCGTACACTGAAGACACACAAGTTTTCTACATCGGCCACACATGTATTTTGTCATACGGTTCTTCTTGCGAGGGCACAAATAACATATTTTTCTCAGTATTCTCAGGAATTCCAAGAATAATCGCTATACAAGCACGAATTAGCCGCGGTACATGAAAAATTACCCATTCTTCGCTTCATATGATCTACTAATTGTTTTGCTAATATTTTAGTAAAAGCAGATTTTTCTTGAATTTTAGAATTCTTTTTGCAACTTTGGTCACTTTGGAGCAGTATGTATGCATTTACAACAGCAATATTTATTATACGGAAGAAAACAGCCAGAGTCCATTTGCGAGTTCTTCGACTACACGAACTTTTAGCACATTTTTCGTCGATACAGTCTACACCTCCTTTATTGGAATTATAATATGAAATTATTTCTGATTTTTCTATTGAAGAATCATTACAAGTTCTATCATTGCATTGATGATATTAAAATTGTAGCCTTGTTTTTTCTAGCAGCATAAGATACCATTGTACACTCTTCTCTAAATCAATAAACACTAGAACCAGGTTCTCTGGTTTTATTGGCCAAAAACGACGGAGGTATTTCACGTTTATTTTTTTTTTTTCTAGTTCCTACATACGTAAGATTATTTTTCTGCAAAACATCTATTAGCTCTAATGACGAAAACCAGTTGTCAGCAGTTATGTTTCTGTTGCTGCCAATTAAAGGTTTATTTAACCGCAAGACTGCTTGTGTTGGTTTTTAGTTTTCTTCGGATAAAAGAAGCCGTCCGAGTCTTTGCCACAGTATATATACCCGTTATAGAAATAACTGGTTCTTGCATCAGTAAGAGCCATTATTTTGATGCCATACTTACATGGCTTATACATTTTAAAATGGCACCTTCCCCTAAAACTGACAGTTGCCGATTGACCTAGACCATATGCGTTTTGACAATTTTCAATAAAAAATTGAATATATAAGAAACTGCTGCTACTGGATCATGTTTTTTCTTTCTTCTCGATCATCTGGATTATCAAATCCAGAGCTGATAAAATGACTGCAAAACGCTTTTGATTCATGACAGTTCTAAAAATTTCACTACCAGTTCCATCTGTTGCAAAAAGCGTTTTTATATTCTCATAGTTCGATTTGGATACCGCAGAATATACGATGAGTCCTATGAAAGCTTTCATCTCCGTTATGTCAATATCCTTGAGGTCATGTCTATTTGGATCATTATACTTTATTTTCATTAAATTCAATTTAAGATTGGTCCACTGAATAACACATAATAACATATTTTCGTCAAACAATAACTGCCATACCTTTAGAGGATCAGCTTCCTCTCCAAGACTTCGCGCTTTTGTTTTTAGGACGGGAATTTTGTTACTAAATTATGTTTCCTTGCATGAGACTTCAGATTTACACCACCTGAATCGGTTTTTTCCGTAGAAATATGTTTGATTATTAGTCTCAACTATATTTTCTTCCGAAATATTTTCTTCTGTATAAATGTCTGAATCCGTCTGGCTATCAGATTCCAGATAAACATCATCTTGTACTTGATCAACATCACTAGCGTCGCTATCTAATTCGTCAAACCTCTTCAAAGCTGTATCTTCAAAATCAGCATCTGTAAAACGGATTTTTTTGATGGACCGGCCATGATTGTAACAAATACGCGACGTTCAATGAAACAAAATGTAACCTGAACCGCGACCTGCCGTCAGACTAACTAAAACTGATTTTCGGTTATAACTTTTCCAAATATGCGTATTTTTTTACCAATGTCGGGTCACTAATAGTGTGTTCGTTAGTTCTCTGCTAATAGTCAACGAATAATATAAAAAAGAATAGATGCAGTGATGTGCCGATGGGCGGAGTTATTTGTACAGGGTGTTAAAAATTCTTTATGCTATAGTCTGTCAGACGGCACGTCTCCAGTTAAGGGTTAAGAAACGAAAGATTGAATGAATTGAAAGAATGAATCATGAATACCTACATTGAAAACATATAAATATGTACTCACCATTTTTCAAATTTATTTTATCTTGACGCCGACATGCATCCACCCATCGCTTAGTAAACTCTTCATTTCGTGGAAATCGAAAGTATTTTATGTCTGATGTTTTCGTCACCCTATTATAATTTTTACAATTAGCTACGGCACAACCCGGCATGTTTGTCGATAATACACAAAAACTGAACTAAACAAACTAAACACTAGAAACAGAGATCGAAATGAGAAGCTTGGTAAAAACAATTTATTTACCACACGATGCACAACATAAATACATCTACCGGGACAGGGAATCCTATTTCTCAAACACCGTAGTACCCTGCACTGTTGCTTCGTAGGTGACGTCATGCGCGTCGGTGTACACATTTCTATTCCTTGAGTTCTTGAGTAGCATGCCGGTATTTGTGTATCAATGTGTCGTGACGTGACCTCTATGTTGACGAAAAAGCTATTTAATTCACCCCATGTAACGGCTACAGCTCCGCGGAGTGATCATAATGCCTAATGCCACAACCTTCGAAATGTGACGGTTGATCGGTTGATGTACGGCGCGGCGGAGAAGCGAGAATGGCGAATAGAGATGGACTACTCCAGATAATAATGTATTCGGTATGTAAACGGAGCGGCCTTATGAGTCAGTTGATAAGATAATATCGTGCTGTAAACTTATAAATAAATACTTTTGAATACATTAGAACTACTTGTTTTATTTTGAAACACGCTACAGTATCAATAAAAAGTTCTTTAATCGCAACTATAAAAATATCATATCCACAGGATAGTCCTTAAGTAATTGTACAAAAAGAAACAGTAGATTTTACACTTTAAAATATTACGATTGAAACCAAATTGCTTTAATAAAATGTTAATATTAAAAATGATACAGGGTGTTGAAGTGCAGATTTAAAATTTTATTTTTCGCTATAACTTTCAGGTTTATAAACATTTATGTATAAAAATTTACAACTGGGTACTTTTAAAAATTGAGAAATTATAATTTAATGCAGACTTTGATGTACCTGATAGAGGGCGCCACATATGTGGCATACATTTGCATTTAACTTTTTTGCTCTTCAAGTTACCTGTATTTGTGATAAAAAATATTAAAGATACGTTATTTTAACAAAAAAAGGTACACCTGTTAATAACTTCAAAACTCAACAGTTTTCGAGATAATCGCATTTTACAAATCAGCTGCATAATTCTGATTTAACGCAATTACTCCAGACAACGAAGGAAAAATAGACAAAAACATCAATAATTTTGAATTTTGGTATAAAATACTGTTATTTAATAGTTAACGAAATATTAAATAAAATAAATACATCAGCAGGATAATTAATAATAGGATTTGACAAAATAACAGAATAAGGATTTTACATCAAACATTTTACGTTTTGTATTAAATTAAAGTCATAATTAAAATATTTTATTTATAAACCAAATCAAGAAATAGTTAAACTAAATAATATTAAACTTTTTGTCAAAGTAAGTGCTTGATATGTCCACCATTTTCTTTAATTCATTTGTCAATACATTCCATAAAAGATCGTCTCATATTAAATAGCATTATTGCTTCTAAAGAAACTGCCGCAGTATTTAGTTCTTCCCCTAGTTGGTTGCGAATGTTTATGGGATTCTTATAGACACGTTGTTTTAATACGTCCCATAACGTCCCATACACCAAAATCAGGCGGATTAAATTCTGGGCTACGTGGTGGCTATAATGTATAAATATATTCGTTTGGATACATATCCAAATCTTATGGCATATTACGAAATTAGGCCTAAGGGCTAAACTTCTTAAAATTCATTATGCGAACTTGGTGGGGTGCAGAACCTCAAACAGCTCTACTCTCCTATAAAGCTTACGTAAAATCAATAATTGATTATGGTTGTACATTTTATGGAACAGCCAATAAAACAAATCTACGTAAGCTGGATATTATACAAAACAAATCACTCAGAATATGTCTGGGAGCAATGAAATCTACACCAGTCGAACCCTAAGAGCTGAAGCAATCGAACCTCCATTAGAACTCTAAAGATCATTTTTAGCTGAAAAAATTATTATTAAGTCTCTAAAGAAAAACTCACCATTCATTAGCAGCATGTATATTCATTAAACGAATACAACCTAACTAAGCCATTTTGGATTCATAAACACTCTCCTCCTATTTGTGATGGATTAAGAAACGTGACCTTAAAACCACAAACAAAGGTAGAGACCGACTACTTTGATCACTTTGTTTCCTGTGATGTGAATATACCACTCTATTCGGAGTTAGCATCATTTAATAGTATAGTCATATATCAAATTTTAGAGGAACATCCAAACTACATCACTATATAGACTGATGGATAAAAAAACACCTACGGTTTCTATTTGTACAATTACTTAAGGACCACCCTGTATATAATTGAAAGGTAAAGGCAGATCATTCCACATTACAATCATATGTTTAAAAAACGTAAATATTTTAGAAAGAATTTTAAAAATAAAACAAATAGATACGTAAAAACTTGTGATAGCTTACCTACTGGTACATAAATCACATTTAAATTTCCTTTCCTTCCTTGCCCAAGCACTGAGGGTTCCTTGTTCTTCAGCGTCGGTTACATTAGAACTCTCCGGCTCACTAGGTGAATCATTATCAACACGAGAATGATCTGATACTTTATCGCTCGCTACGTCCGTATCGTTTTCTGAAATTGATCAAATCGAGGAATAGAAAATTCATTGCCATAAAAATCATAAAACTCGCATAGAAGTTAAAAATTTATTTTTTAATCCAAGGAGAATGTTTTAGATTTTAAATTTTGATTAAGTAAAGTTTATTTGCAGTATGTCCTAGTCCTAGTGATGTAAAAAAAGTACCCACCCGTTACAAAATAACGGGTATTTGTCCAATAACCAAAGTACTCGTTTCTTTTGGTACAGATAACTATTATAGTAAACTAAACGAAATACCTGGATGTCTACAACACAAAACAAAACGCAGAAAAAGAGATCGAAGATTTTGAACCCTATTAGAACAACAACGTAATGTCACCGATGACCTATGAAAAATGTAATCGATGTGTACTCACACGCTTCTGTACATACATCGCTTATATTTCCAGCCAGTACCTTTTAGTTTAGTTCAGTGACAACGATCACGCAGGCAAGAGGGCGTACGTGCAAATAATTTTTTGAAGTTGTGAAATCTGAGCGGTTTATGCAGGTAATAGACGGGCGGAAAATACGCCGCGAGAGATACGCAGCGTATTTGGTTAACATAATAGACGAGCGTTTTATTTCACGCCTGTTGGCGGAAAGAGTACAGTCATAGTCAGAAATAAAATGGATTTAGTTCAAGTCGGATGTGATGCTGCACTTTGTTTAGTGTTAAAAAAAACGAAAAAACAAAAAAAGAATTATTCGTCGTTGGTGGGTTCATCCAGTTATTATAGTGTATTTTTATGTATGAGAGAGTAATAAAACAATAAATTATGTATGCAAATCCCTAAACTGTTGATACGGGTGACTCAATGAAAAACAGATATTTGTCAACAAGTTTACAGAAGTATATAGGAAAACAATTTTAAATTGAGTATGACCACCAGGTATAAAGGTTGGAGCAGAATAGAATACAATAGTTGTGAGGGTTACTAATCCCTAAATAAGGTTGCCAGTGTCGGAGTGATGGAGGTTAACAGGTACTAATGAATTTGCAAGAAATGTAAGATGTTTATTTTATTGGTTATATATAACCAATAAAAGTTTAATAAGTACCTACCTATTTGCAAAATAAAGTTTAATTCTTTAGATAAAATAAAACGTTTTATTTTATCTGAAATGAGTGCATTCCACGAAGTAAGGGTTTCAACAATCAAACATTTAATTCTTTAATTCCAGGAATCTACGACAGTAATTGACTAGATAATTACCTTCTAAACTTACTCCACAGAAAATGTGATAGTGGGTTTTTCCATTTTGTAGGAAAGTCCAAGTGGCATATTCAAAATTCTTAACAGTTCACTAAAAGTAGGTACTTCAGTTGCAAGGTGCAGTTTATTGTGTATACTAGTGTTATGGAAAATTTGGAAGTGCCGTGTAAACGCCGAAAAATTGGTCCTTTAACAGTTAATGAAAAAACATTAATATTTAATTGTTTTAAATCATTTACAGACAAACGTTTATGTGAAAGTGTTGATGAGACCGTTGAGTTAGTTAGCAGTAAACTTGGTGTTGGGAAATCTACGATTTACAGAGTTATTAAAGAAGAGAAATGTGGTAGTTTTCAAATGCCACGTAATGCTCCAGGGAAACCAAAATTTCAAATAGAATATCATTTTAAAGAAGGACTTCGACGGAAAGTGCATGAATTCTTCTTTAGACAAGAATTTCCAACATTGGATAAAGTTCTTGTCTCAGTTCGAGATGATAAGGATTACCCAGAAATGAGTCGAAGTACGTTATGGAAACTTTTAAAAGAAATAGGCTTCCGCTGGAAAAAGAATCCTAGAAAGTCTATTTTATTAGAAAGAAGCGATATTGTCATATGGAGAAGACATTTTCTAAGAACCATAAAGGAAATGAGAAACCAAAAAAGAAAAATATTTTATCTTGATGAAACATGGATCAACGAGGGTCATACACCAAATAAATTTTGGCAGGATGAAACTGTTACAAGTCAAAGGCACGCTTTTGTAAATAACTTATCTACTGGTTTAAACCCACCATCAGGAAAGGGACGCAGGCTGATAATAGTACACAATGGCAGTTCAGACGGTTTTGTTGAAGGTGGTTTGTTAACTTTTGAATCAACTCGTACCGGTGACTACCATAAAGACATGAACGCTGATGTCTTTCAAGAATGGTTCGAACAAATGATAGATCTTCTTTCTAAGAACTGTGTAATAGTAATGGATAATGCAAGTTATCACTCCAGACTTATAGAAGGACTGCCCACAACCAAGTGGTTAAAAAAAGACTTGCAGAATTGGCTGAGTTCAAAAAATATTACGTACCATCCCGGATCTATAAGAAAGGAACTTTATTCGTTGTGTGCCCTTCATAAAGAAACATTTAAAAAATACGAAATTGATGAAATTGCCAAAAATCGTGGAATGACAGTACTTAGATCCCCACCATATCATTGTGAATTAAACCCGATTGAACTGGTATGGGCACAGATAAAGAGTGAAGTTTCAAGAAAAAATACCACTTTTAAAATTCATGATGTTAAACAGTTGTTTTTGGAGGCCGTAAATAATGTAAAACCTGAAAACTGGGAAAAGGCAGTAAACCACACTATTAAAGAAGAGGAAAAAATGTGGAAGCTGAACAATATTACTGATAAAATGATCGAGCCAGTTATTATAAATCTTGGTTTTGAAAGTTCATCTTCTGAATCTGATTTGGATTTATAACAAGTAGCTGTAAGTTTTATATTATTATTTTTATTCATCTATTTAACATACCTTAGACGGTTTTAAAAACTCTTTTTCTCTTTTGTAATTTTTAAAAATTAAAAAAAATGTGAATTTTTTAAAACCCTTTTTAATGTAGGCCAGTCAGTTCTAATATAGTGTGTGACAAAAGAGGACACTTTTGTTTACATACACATAACACTTTATAACACTGAAATAATTCATTTATTTTTTACAATTATTCAAAGTAATTTTTCAATTAATCTTGAGCACGCCCATGGAGTGGTCGAAGGTACCAGTTAAAATTATGCTAATTACTCTCTCGTTCATAAAAATAAACTATAGTAGCAGACTTCAGACAGGACAATTTTATTTAAAATTTTGCGAACACAGACAGTATCCCGAAAAATTTTTCTCATACTACCGCATGTCCGTAAAAAGTTTTGATGAACTGCTGAAACTGGTAGAAAGTAAAATAACCAAGACTACAACCAACATGCGAATTCCAATTGACCCAGCAGAACGATTAGTTATTACAATAAGGTAAATAAACAAAGTAAGATAACATTTTATTAATAGTACATTTTTTACCGGGTAGGAAAAGCTTAACATTCCTGGACGACTGTGAAGATTGCTAAGTCGAGGCGCAAGCCGAGACTTAGCAACACAGAGTCCAGGAATGTGGCTTTTCCTACGAGGTAAACATACTATTTTTCCGCAAATCGTTTAAAATTCGACAGATATTGATTGATTTAAAAAAACGCGATAATTTTATTCCCAAATAAATGGTGCTTTGAAATTCCCAATAAAATTACTTGGGTTACTATGGAAACGTATTGAGGTTGAATTGTCAAACTTGACGCTTATAAATTTAATTGCTGGTGTTCTCGAAAGTAAAATGATAAGTGATGATGAAATTTCCATTCCTGGGACTCCTCCAGAGCTGGTTGAGGCAGTGAATACTGCTTCATTAGAATTATTGCCAAAGAAATCAAGAGAAAAGTACGAAAATGCATACAGACGTTTTATTAATTATCGCATGAGTAAAAACACGAGTTCTTTCTCAGAAAATGTTGTAATGGCATACTTCCTAGACCTTTGTTTAAAGATGAAATCTTCAACATTATGGGCCAATTATTCAATGCTGAAGTCAACCCTTGCACTTAAACACAATGTAGATATATCTACATACTCAAAACTTCGTTCTTTATTGAAACGGCAAGCTCAAGGTTATAGGGCAAAGAAATCTAAGATTTTAACGAAGGAAGAAATTGAAAAATTTATCCAGGAAGCTGATTAAGGTAATTTACAAGGTTTTAATTTCTATTTAGATTATAGCTTTATTTATTTTTTAGGTGGATGTAATATTTGGTATTTCTGGGGCCTGTAGAATGGATGAGTTAGTCCGAATGACTGTACACGATATAAAAGACTTAGAATCTAAGCTTTTAATCAGCATACCTGATTCGAAAACCAACAAACCAAGATCATTTGTAATTAATCAGATGTACTTGAATGTTTATCGAAAGTATGTTTCGTTAAGACCAGAAAATATGAACAGTGACCGATTTTTCTTTAAATATCAAAGCGGAAAGGGTTGTAGACAAGTGGTAGGAATTCATCAATTTAGAAAAATGCCCAAAATAATTGCTACTTATTTGAACTTGGTAAATCCGACAGAATATACTGGTCACTGCTTTCGTCGGTCTTCTGCAACAATATTGGTTGACTCTGGTGCCGACATAACTAGTTTAAAGAGGCATGGCAGATGGAAGTCATCAAACGTTGCTGAAGGATATATCGAAGAATCGCTTAACAATAAGGTTGAGGTGGCAAATAAAATTTTCACAGTACAAAATATTCAACAAAATGACACTTCCACCCTGCATGTTGTCCAAAATGTTTCTCATAGTTCTAAGAGTGTTCCTCCAATGTTCAATAATTGTACTAACTGTCAAATTACTGTAAATATAACAAATTGATCTTAAAAATGTATTCAGCAATGACTTGATGTTTTCAAAATATAAATTAATTCCTTATAAGCAATGTGTTTTCTATCATTTATGTAGAACACTAACAACTGTACGGAAATATCATTTCCTTACAGTAAGGAAATGACATTTCCTTACAGTAAGGAAGTCCTGACTTTTTCTTCAAGAAATTTTGACATGAATGTCAAAATTTCCTGGCGATTTGCGGAAAAGTAAATTGTTATCCTTAACAAGTCGTTAAGGTAAAATAAGTAAAAGTATTAATATAAATTAATTAAAGTATCTTCCGATGCAGCCGGTGACGAAGGGACTAAATACTGTGAAGTTGATTGAGTGTATCCAGAAGGAGAAACTATAGGAGAGTAAGGCGATTGTGTTTCACCCAAACAAAGGGTGTCAAACAGGGCTCTTGCGTCTCCCCAACCCTATTTAAAATATATCTTGGTAATGCTTTAAAATATTGGATGAGAAAATGCTGCCCAATGGGCATATGGGTAAATGACACTCCTATATACACAATCCTCTTCGCAAACGACCAGGTAGTTCTTGCCGAGGACCTACAAGATATGACGTACATGATAAACAAACTAATAGACGAATTCAAAAAATGGGGATTAGAGGTTAATACCGAAAAGACACAATACATGAATATAGGAGGCATCGGTCAAGACATGGAAACAGAAAGCGGATTAATTAAAAACGTTGATCAGTACGAATATCTCGAAGTTACACTAAGCGAAGACGGGAGAGACGACAAAGATATAACAAGAAAAATAGGAAAAGGAAAAAACATGATAAAAACACTACATCCGATCCTGTGGAATAAAACTTTAACTAAGAAAACAAAGAAAAATATATATCAGGCTATGATTCAGCCGGTGCTGACGTATGGGTCAGAAGTGTGGGTCTTTAATAAGAATATGTCACAAAAACTCCTCTCAACGGAAATGATGTACTGGAGAAGATGTTCCGGGTTAACTTTGTTTGACCACATAAGAAATGAAAACATAAGAGAGAGAATGAAAGTAAAGAACACAATAATGGATACGATAGCCGAAAAACAATTAAAATGGTATGGACACCTGAGACGGATGAACGAAGAAAGGATACCACGAAAGGTTTGGAACTGGAGACCTACACAGAGAAATAAAAGGGGAAGGCCAAGAAAGAAATGGATATCCAATATTCATATAGAAATGGAAAATAGAGGTCTTCAAGAAGGAGACTGGGCCGATAAGAAATTATGGCGATTGGGATGCGAGAAGCGACAAAATTAAAGTTGCAAACACTCGCTATATATATATATATATATATATATATATATATATATATATATATATATATATATATATATATATATATATATATATATTATATTATATTTATTGCGAATTAAGGCGATTGTGATTGGACGGACGAAGGAGACGAAGTTTCTGAGCACTGTAGTGACAGACTGGATGCAGCGCAAAGACGGGTTGAAGATACCGGCGGTTGTTGCGAGCATGAAGATGACTCCTGTGTATACACTTGTTGAGCAGGTTGCATATAATTTATGTTTTGGTTGGTACTCGCCTGATTCTTTATTTGTGGTTGTTGCTTGTATAAAGAGGACTGCTGTGAATATGGAGACTGTATACTGTATTAAAAAGGCTGCATAGAATTTGTAAACTGGCTTGTATTATGTTGATTGTTTGTTTCATAAATATGTGTACTGGTGTATATTTGAAGCACTTCCATTATCTTTAGTCTAAAATTGATTAAATTCTGTTGCGGCATACTATTCATAATTGGCAATAATGACATTAAAAAAGCCTTATTACCCATAACGTCGTCCAATCTCTCCTGTTTTTGTAAAGCTACTGACTGCGACAATATCGCTGCGATACTTTTTAAATCTTCATCTTCCTCTAATCTTCGTTTGCGAACATTTTTCTTTAATCTTTTGTTTTCGGGTTCTTCAGCTGTCTGAATTTGAGTATTGCTTTCATTTATTGTTTCCGCAACTTGTTCTCTATCTTCCTCTTTTCTCTCTTGGATATTAGATGACGTTGGCCTCTTTTCCATATGAACCGATAAAAATGAGAGTTGATCATAGTACATATATTTTCGCTTTCTTTGTGTAGCGGCTTACCAAGCGTATGACAGCCAGAAAGATATACGTCTGTGGTACTTTACGCAATAATCGAAAAGGGAATCCAAAATACGTGATCTCAAAAAAACTTAAAAAGGGCAAGTGTGTATGGCAAAGAAATAAATCGGTAGTTGTGTGTAAGTGGAAAGACAAACGCGTAGTTTTAATGATTTCAAATATGCACAAAGTAGAAATGGTTGAGGTCCGTGCCAGAAGTGAGAAAGTTGCCTGGAAACCTAACATAATCAAGGATTACAACGCTGGAATGTCAGGTATTGACCAGTCAGATCAAATGCTAAGCTACTACAGCGCTCTAAAAAAACCATAAGGTGACCAAAAAAAGTAACTTTGCATTTTGTCGAAATATACATAAACAATGTATATTTGCTCTACCGTAAATCAACAGGCAGCAAAATAAAATCTTGAAAATTTCGAGATGTTTATTTCGACGCTCCTTGGTGATAATATGCCAAAAGCTACACCAAATCCCCCAACAAATTTTCATTACCTTGAAAGTATGCTTTCCGCATATGTACGACTCGTAATCGTCGTCGAGAAACAACATATAGATGTGGTGCATGTAAAGAAAAGCCTCTTTTATGTGTAGAACCCTGCTTCAAAGAATATCAACATAATAGAACTGTTCAAGCACTTTTTATTGAACTATGTTTCTTTTTCATTTTGGAATTTTTAGTTTTTGTCCTTTTACCATAACCAAAAATAATAAATAAATCTGTTTTCTGATGTTCACCTATATTTTAATAATCTTTTGTAGACGCCCCAATATAAAATCTCCATGCATATCCTACGAATAATCTCGTGCTCAGCGCCACGAAAAACATCTACAAAAACGAAATAACTCGTGGTTGGCATCTAATAACAGACAGCCAACCACGAGTTATCTCGTGCTTGGCAGTCAACGAGTTAAACTTGACTAACGATGTGTCAACAAGGTGGAACTCGACATACTAGATATATATTAAAAGACTAGTTAAAATATCGCGAGTTTTAGCTCAAACAGTTGGTTTTTTGCTCAATCCTATTAATCTTCTTACTGAAGTAAATTGGACGACAGTAAAAGAACTTTTAGAACTCTTTAAATTCTTGAAGATAGTCCTATCAGGGAAAATGAATTAATTCCTGCACTCCGCGCAGATTCCGGAGGTTTCCTGACCCGGTAGTACCTGTTTAGGGTCCCTTGTCCAGGGTATGAAGTCCACAACGACAGCCACGACGGAGAAGCGGAGCTTCGGTACGGTGCGGATGGCGGAAGTGGCAACCCTCGATTATAGAGTTAATATAGAATCAAAACAATAGCGTCTGATCCAGAACGGATATCTACGAATAGCGCCTGACCCAGAGTAGGCGGCTGACATAAAACTCATCAACTCGTCTAGCCAGCGTGGTGTTTTAAGGCTACTCATCCTTCAACTATATAGACATGGCGAATACTAAAACTAACGAAAACGGAAGGGTCCGCCTCTTAAAATCTGGGGGAGGCAAGAATTAACCTGTTAATGTCAATATATCTGAATTTAATGGGTTAATGTCCCATCTCCACCCATTATCCATATATCTTTTAGAACTTTTAAAAATCTGTATAAAATTTTTACGGGATATGGATGATTTTTTCACAGATTGACTGGGGTAATATTATATAAGCTCGAATATTGTCTAATATATTACATACCCGAATTTTTTTGTATAACTGACTTGTCTGAACTAAGCCTAGTACTGCGTTCGAGGGGACTTGGAGTACTTGACGTTGACGTAGTAGCGGGTACTTCAGTGATAGATATGGGGTCAGCTTTAGCATCCTCGCTATTCTCAAAATCGACGGTAACACGTTTTTGTCCCTTAAATCGGGTATCCCTTGGAGAACCATTTGTTTTCTGAAATAAAAATTACATTGGTAAGTTAATTTCAATAAAGACAATAGATAGAAAAGTAATAGATATAATTGGTAATGGGGCGTGATTTCACCAACGATGATTCAGCCACAGTGATTTCGTCTTATATAAATCGATTTATAAAAGTTGTTTATAATAATAATATTATGATAATCTCGGTGAACGTGATTTGGAGAACGGTGACTAATACCGCAAAATAATACCGTATGATCAAACTATGCTGAAAACGGAATTATTACGAATTGCAAGGCAACATAAAGAAGAAGAAGTAACTTTTTAATTTATACACATTGCATAAAAGTTATATATCAATACGATGTATCGGCTTTACCAATAATTTTATTTAACATCTACAGGATGGTCCTTAAGTAATTGTACAAAAAAGCCATTTTCGCTATAACTTTCATGTTTGTGAACATTCATGTATAAAAATTCATAACTGGGTACTATTGAACATCAGGAATTATAATTTGATGCATTACTTATTGTAACTGATAGAGGGCGCCACATATGTGGCATACATTTGCACTTAACTTTTTTGCTCTTTAAGTTACCGGTGTTTATCTTCACAGAAGACTCAACTTCCGGGTACATACACAAAAAACAAAGGTAAAAGCAAATGCTGCTAAAAAACTGATATTTCCTTTCATTTTTAGGTCCAGTCCACTGTCAAAGGCGAAGAAGATACAACTCTACCAAGCATATGTTAGGTCGATGATTCTGTATGCTGTACCAGTCTGGAGCTCCATTGCGGAATCCAACTGGAGAAAGTTAGAAGCAACTGAGACCTCATGCTACCGAATCATCGACGGAACATCATGGGAGGATAGAGTTACCAATGCCACCATCAGGAATAGACTAGGATACACGCCACTGAGAGAGGTGGCCGAGAATAGAACCAGGTGGTTCTTCAACCAGGCCACAAGAAGACTTCGAAAGACCAGGGATATCCTCGAGAAGAACAGGATCCAGAGAATACACCGAGAAACACATCGACTGATCGACGACATGATCAGCGACTAGAAGCCAGGCATGCAGGGAAGTAGGTACGTTTGCCGATAAAGTACCTACAGAAGCAGACGAGGACACCACCCAGAAAAATCCAGGAATCGAGAGGAAGAAGATTCAAATGCTGGCGGTGCAAGAGCGAAACGCAGAAGAAAGAAGGCTAAAATATCAATTTTGACATGTATTTCATTATAGTATGGTAATAAATGTTTATTTTTATTTTTTATTTTTATTAGATAAAAAATATTAAAGATACATTATTTTAACAAAAAAAAAAGGTTATGAACTTGTTATGAACTTCAAAACTTAACAGTTTTCAAGACAATCGCATTTTACAAATCAACTTTTTGTTATTTTGTTTCAGTTATTTTGTCAAATCCCACTATTAACTATTCTGCTGATATATTGATTTTATTTAATATTTCGTTAACTAATAACTTTATTAAAGGTACTTTATAACAAAATTCAAAAGTATTGATGTTTTTGTGTAATGTTCTTTCGTTGCCTGGAGTAATTGCGTTAAATCAGAATTATGTAGTTGATTTGTAAAATGCGATTAGGTGTAAATGTCTCATCAGCTACATTAAAGTATGCATCAAATTATAATTTCTGATGTTCAATAGTACCCAGTTATGAATTCTTATACATAAATGTTCACAAACATGAAAGTTATAGCGAAAAATTAAATTTTAAATTTGCATTTTAACACCCCGTATCTTTCTTAAAGCAATATCTAGAAAAACTATTTAAAGAACAAAGAGATAACACCTTTGAGCTAGAAGAAGAGGTAAAAGGATGGCAAAGCGCAGGCCCTGATAATATGCAAGCAGAACTATTCAAACTAATGGACAACGAATTAATAGCAATAATCGCAAAGATATTCAACAACATATATACAACTCTGGAGAAATACCCACAGAATGGTTGAAATCTAAACTTATTGCACTTCCAAAAAAACCAGGAGCCAAAAAAATGTGAAGATTACCGTACTATAAGCTTCATGAGTCATCTCCTAAAATTGTTTCTAAAGATAATTCATAAGAGAATCTACAAGCTCTGTAAAAGTCAAATTTCTCCCAATTAGTTCGGGTTCACAAATGCTCTTGTTACTAGGCTTTGTTCTCAGTACAAATCATATTCCAGAGATGCAGAGACGTCAACTGCGACGTATACGCATGTCTGGTTGATTACGAGAAAGCGTTTGATCGAGTACAGGACGCCAAGATGATGCAAATACTGAAAGAAGCAGGAATTAACAACCAAGATCTGAAAAAATTAGAAGTCTTTACTAGAATCAGACAGCAAATCTCAGAGTTGAAGGTGAACACACTGACTATGTGAAAATCATGCGTGGAGTGAGGCAAGGCTGTATTTTGTCTCCTCTAATCTTCAATCTGTACTATGACACCATAGTATTTGCGGACAACTTAGAAGAACTACAAGTTCTTATGAACAAAATCACGTATTACAGTCAACAATATGGACTCAATATAAACGTTAAAAAGACAAAGGTTATGATAATTATCAAGAAAAGGATAACAGAAGGTCAACTCTACGTCAATCAATCTCCTGTAGAAAGAGTGACGCACTAAAACTACCTCGGCACCATAATAAATGAAGAATGGACTAACAACCAGGAGATTAGAGCACACATCGCAAAAGCTAGATCCACCTTCAATCGGATGGGGGCCTTCTTCAAGAATCACAACCTCTCTCTTGATACAAAAGTAAGAATGCTGCGCTGTTACGTCTTCTCTGTCCTTTTATATGGTGTTGAATCGTTGACCTTGAACGAAGATATGTGCAAAAAACTGGAAGCATTTGAGATGTGGCTATATCGGAGAATACTTAAGATCCCGTGGATTGACCGAGTTACAAATGAAGAGGTCCTTAGAAGAATGAATAAGAACCGAGAGGTACTGAACACCATTAACTCTCGAAAGTTACAATTCTTCGGACATATTATGCGAAATGAATCCAGATATGCTCTCCTTCAAGCCATCCTGCAAGGAAAAATATTTGGAAAGCGAGGTCCAGGAAGAAGAACATCTTGGTTAAAGAACCTTAGAATCTGGTTCAATACAACATCTGTGCAGCTTTTCCGCGCTGTTGCAGATAAGGTAAAGATTATCATGATGATCGCCAACATTTGTAACGGATAGGCACATCAAGAAGAAGAAAAATTTGGCTTATATCGTAATATTTTAAAGTGTAAAATCTACGATTTCTTTTTGTACAATTATTTAAGGACCACCCTGTATATCTGTTCCTTTTTTATTCTCAAACACTGGCCCATGATTTTCATACCTGTTATAATTTGGGCGGTTTCTCTACTTGTGCAGTGAACACCTTATTAAAATAGATGTTTTTAATCTCATAAATACACTGCCGAGCATAAAATTAGGCTCACCCCGTAATTTGAATTTATTTTAGAAATTATTATTCTTTTCACATGTAAGAATGGTACGACGAAGACTGCGAAACAGCAACCATAGAAAAAATCCTAGCACGAAAGAAGACCGGTAGGGCAGAAGACTTGGAAGATTAGAAGCAGATTTCCAAAGTGGAAATGATGATAAGACAACGATCTTTTCATCGTGACCTACAGCGCTTAAAGCGTGACCTTCAGAACCTTAATAGACGTTTTTAGGTCTGTTTATTTGCAGGCGAAAGCAGAAAACATTTGAAAATTATTTGTTGTTGTGATTGTCTGTTGAGAGTTCGTCTTTGTTTTGACTAGCTATCGAAATGTGTTTTAATAAAAGGTAGGTTATTATTTTACCAGTACAAATTAAAAATTTTATATCTGTTTAAAAATTTATTTCATGATAACATTATCATTTATGCATGTAACTTACATGGAACACTAGTCTTTTAAGGTACATAATTACTAAATCTACAAAAATGTTTTAATTTTTTGTTACAGATTGACAGTCCAAGAGATTGCAGATCACAATGGGTCATAACAATTTTGGGAGATTTTGAAAATGAAACAGTTTATATAGAACCCCTAGAAAACCACGAAGAATCAGACGAATATTCCGCAGATGAATCTGGCGGTAGACTGGACAATTTATCAGGCAAGCAACTGCAAGCTTCTGCAGGAATAGTATTTAATAGTGGAGAACTAATTGGTACTAACGATTATGAAAATACTGAAGGTATTGCACAGATACTAAATCTGGTAAAAATAAAAAAATAATAAACTGGTTTAAAAAAGTGCAAGACAAGCATTTATAAAAATGAAAACAATGTTTGTTAATCGAGACCTTTCTCTGGAGCTGAGGATAAGAGCCTTAAGATGCTATGTTCAGTACATACATCAAAATACAAATATCACTAATGTTTTTATTTTGAGAACGACTTCCGAAATGGAAATTGAAACGTTTAAAAAAAAGTAACTTTTTACGGTGAATTTCAAATCGACTCAATTTTTTCGAGGTTTCCCATATTTCGAGCTACCACAGATTAAAAAGAAAAAGAGGCTGCTAGCTGCAATGGAAGCCGAGATAATGTAAATTTTTCCTACGTGTATAAACAATGGAGATATGATTTTTTTAAATAGTCCCTAACTTCGGTCCTATTGGACATAGAAGGTTTTTATAAATGTGAGTTTTTTTACCAGCTATCCAATGGTTGTACGTACAAGTCTGTAGCTTGAAAAATATAGAAGTTATTACAGTAGACTCTCGATTATCCGAGGTAATTAGGACCGGGACTACCTCGGATACCGAAAAAACTCGGATAACATAGATTGGTTATATGTACTGATAAAAAAATGTGTACCTATGCAAATAATGATTAATGTGTTTATTTTAATAATTAAAAACTAATATAAAAGTAGTATAAAAGATAAAACAATTTACCTTATAAATGTTATTGTTTAAAAAAGTCTTTGATTGATTTTTGTTTTAACTTCATTCCTCTTTTTGAGGCGGCGATGTTGCGCCAACGTTGAAAATTGAGCACGTCTA